GACGAGAGCCACGTGGAAAATGAAGCAGGGCAGGGGGCAGAGAGTGCCGGGCAGGGGACTGCTGTCCTCTGCAGGACGCGGAGGGAAGGCCCGCCGAGCCGCCGTGCGACAGGGGCGAAGGGCGTCCTCACCGTGGACCTCTGGCTGAGGGACACCTCTGCTCTCCGGCACTACGAGAGCTGGCATCTCTTCCTGCTTTCACACGTGTCTCTGCTGGAAGGCAGAGGAGGCTGAACTGCCGTCACCATAGATCAGAGGCCTTCATTCAACAAGTACAATTTTAAATGGTCCCAATACCCCATTCAGGAGACGGACCATCATTTAATGAACCAAACCTCTGTCGTTGGCTATCTACATTACTTTTGGCTACTGTTATTTTACTTAAATACTTTTAGCTGGAATTTAAACTACTATAATTAGTAGCCAGGCATTCAGGGGAAGCAGTTTGGGAAAACAGATCGAGGGCTGTGAGCGCACGTGTTCGGGGTCCGGGCAGGAGCAGGGCCCACACCGGCATCAGGACGGCGCTGCTGGGCAGGCAGGGCCGGGCAGAGGCCTCGGGGAGGTGGCCTCCCTCCGCTGCGTCCTGCCCCTCTGGCCGGCGGCCTCATCCCCCCACCCCTGTATTCTCCCGGCTGCAACCAAGGGCCTGCTTACTGATCTGCGCCTACCCATGGCTTTAAGTTTGAATGGATGAGAACATGAGCAAAATACAGCAGAGAAACCGGTCCAGTGTTCAGTTAAACTCGGTAACGGTGCTCCTGGAGTTAAGCAGATATTCAGGGTACCGCTTACGAAAAGCAAGAGAGAAGCAGATGGCACCGAAGTCTGGCTTTCATCCATGGAAACAGAGCAGGAAAAATTAAGTTCCTATGCACAGGATTGGGGTCACACTGAGGTTTCCAGCATCCAGACAGGCAAATGCCTAGACAGCTGCAGAGGGCGGCCGGGTCCTGTGCCAGCCGACCAGGGCCCAGTTGCAGTGGCTCCTGGTTGGGGCAGCCAATGGCACACCATCTGTTTGCTGGTGGGCAGGAAAGCTCACCACCAGCAGGTAGTCACCACTGAGCACGGATCATTCACTGAGAGAGCACTTTTGTTCTTTACCACTTTTCTAAACAGGAGAGGAAAAGAACCGTGAATTTAAAGCCAACTACAATACGCCTAAGAACTAGCTGCCATTTGTTTACTGTTAAAATGAACACAAATTTTAGATAAGTAACATATATTTACTGCAAAACATTTAGAGTGAAAAATACAGAAATCTCCCTTCTACCTCTTTCTCCCAATACCCCATCCTTCCTCTCCCTCTCCAGAGACAAAACCATTTCCTGCATATTTCCCCAGAAATAGTCCATATTATACACAATCATATGTGTGTGTACATTTCTATAAATGTACACATATATATGTAAATATACATCTATATATACTTATATATAGATATATATATCTCCTTATGGTTATATTTAAAATGAACAAAGGCATATTAAAGGCTCTGAGAAGTACTGCAGTAAAGAAACCTGTTTAACATATCCTAAATGTGTTTGACTTTGGGTCCCCTCCCTTCCTCCTTGGGTGTAGGTTCTGGTCTGTGGAATACAGCCAGGGCTCACTCGTGCGGCCGTGTCAGATGTGTCTAGATGGTGTCTCTTCAGAGTGATCAGCTGTTTTCTTAAAAAAATATAAAGTTTATTCCTATGTTTTTCCTTTTTATTCATCTGCCTTTCCGTAGTCTCTCTGCTCCTTAGTTCCACACTGCCTACGCAGAGTTCCCTTGCTGTTTTCTGTCTTGCTGTTTTCTGTTTGCTTGGACTGGGGGCAGCCGTGTGCTGCATTTCAGCCTGGGAGAGGTGAGGTTACCGTCTAGGGCTGTCCCACAGCTTGGATTCAGGCTAACCTTACCTCATCCTCTCTCCAAACGGCAACATCCTCCGCCTGAGGCCATTTCTTCACCCAGCGGACACACGTGCTTCCTCTTCACCTGCCATACCCGGGGTCAGCATGACTGAGAAGTTTTCTGAGCCACAGGCCCTCTGGGGGGTAACCCGGTAACCATTTCTGCTCAGCTGACTTTAATCAGCAGCTGCAGGTTTGTCTCTTACTTGTTCTTACTAGTTTATTGAAGGTTTATTCATTTTGTTCGTATGTTTACTTATTAGGAGTAAGTATTAGATTTTATCAAGTAGTATTTTTGGCTTCTTTTGAGAACTAGTATATACGAATAGATTGATAGAGCTTTCTAATGGATAGACATCCTTGTATACTTAGGGTAAGGCCTCATTGGTCGTGATGCATTGTTCTTTTAAAAAACCCTTGGATCCAATTTTATTTAAGATTAAAAATAAAATCTCTGCACTGACAGGAGATTGGACTATAATGTTCTTTTCTCGTATTATCCTCACCTGTTTTGGATGTAGTGTTGTGCTGGCCTAATATAATGAGAAACCCTTTTTCAAAATTTTTACTTCTGCCTCTTCTCCCTGAAACTCAGCAGGAAGACTTTAAATCCTAAACCCTGTTCTTTACAGTTTTTTAAGACAATGACTCCTGTTCACATCTAGTCTATCAACAGGACGTTTTGTCACTTTGAGCCCTTTCCTCCCCACTTCTAACTAGAAAACTTCTCAGAATTTACTTTGAGGAAATTATCTGGAAGATAAAGAACTGATCCAGACTTCACTCCCTCTCGCCTCTGGATTTCCACAATTAACCCACGGAGCAATATGATCATGTGTCTCCTCGTTAGACTTGTAAAACACAATCTGCTCCTCTAAGTCACACCAGTGGTTATGATACTTGACACTAAAGGAAAATAATTAGGAAAAAAATAAAAGAAAATTAACCTTTCCTTAAGAAGTCAATAGCAGGTTGCTGACCATAACTCTAAGTCGAAATTCCAAGCCTGAATTTTCTGGGGGCAGGAAGGAGGGTTTTAATGTATTATTGGCATTTGATCTCTTTAATTCATAGGACAAGAATGGCAAGAATGAATGATATAAATAAATCCAACAACACGACAGCCTTTTCCCTTTCTTCCATTTATAAATTTTAAAGATGCTTAAAAAAATCTTACATATACAGGGCAGGGAGAAAGTAGATGTACGGTGGTGAGTACATGAAACACAGACTTTATTCCTGCATTATCACTTATTAATTACTGTATTATTTTCCAGGTGAATGAATGTTAACCCATTCTTGCCCCACCCTGTATTACAGATTTGAGGGACTGCAACTAGAAACACGTCTAAAAACGCACTGGGAAAGGAAGCAATGATGGATTTGAGGACCAGATTCCCATTTTCTGCCACTTGCAGAGGCATTTAACAGGGGTTGGAACTTGCTAAATAAGAGCCAGATTGAGAAAAAATACTTCAATTTCCCAGGAAAAACTAGTTTTAAGTACAGGCATCCAAATGAAAATCCCTTTAATTGTCCTTATTTTGCCGTAACTAAATATTAGGAGGAAAATAAGCCAGCTTATATGAACTATAAGTTTTATTTTTATATTAGTTTTATTTGTTTTTTAGAGAGAGAAAGAGGAAGGGAGAAAGAGATAGAAACATCGATATGAGAGAGAACAGTGATCGGCTGCCTCCTGCACGCCCCCTACTGGGGGTCGAACCTGCGACCCAGGCATGTGCCCTGACCTGGGAATCGAACCCGGATCTCTTAGTCCATGGGACGACACTCAGTCCATGGGATGACACTTGTCCACTGAGCCACACTGGCTGGGCAAGAGTTTTATTGTAGAGATGCCTTCTCCATGTCTCTCCTCTGCAAACTAAACTCTTTAGTATTATTCTTAGTTTCGTAATTATTTGGCAGATGAAAGGGAGTTTTTCAAAGGCCCATATGTTTATCATTACCTTTTTGGTATTTCCTGATTTAGACTTATTTTTTTCCACCAGATAATCATTAAGTGTTATTTTGCTTATAGCATTTAAAAGCATCTCTATATAAGACATTTAAAGATCTATTTTGATCTAGAACACAAGGTTTAATAACATGCAAGACATGGCCTGTGTAGCCCACTTCTAAAATTATACTCCATACGTTTATCAGCAAAAAATGAACACAGCAGAAGTAGACACCTGGACATCTGACTGTAAATATGCTTGTGTTTGGGTACAGAAGTCATGTCTAAACGTAAAGCATAAACAATACTAATAGGGAATCCTCAGTTACTTCTGGAACATAGGAAGAGTCTTTTAGGGAGAAAAGGAACTGAACATTGGGCTCATTTCTCAGTAGCTGAGTTTTGAGGCGTGGTCTCCCCACATCAGGGTAGTGGGGAGCAGAGACAGTCTGCCACCACGGGGAAAACATCTGACTCTGGAGTCGGAGAAACACTCTACCCGAAATACCCCATGGCGTCCTATGGGAAGAAAAACTCCACCTCTAAAACAACTCCAATAAATAACCAGACGATATCACCCCCCATTCACTGGTCCCCAGTACGCTCCGGATCTGCTCCGTTTGTATTTCTCAGGTCACGGTTCACAATACACACATATATGTAAACGCCCCAGGTGTCCCCCATGTTTACTACGGAGTTCTCAGACTGGACCGTGTTCCCTGCCCCCCACTCCACGTTCCTGTCCAGGACGCCTCTCAGAATTCCTCTGGTTGTCACGGGCCTCCACGTCTCTCTGCACCTGCCGTCACCGAAGGAGACACGCCCACTGATCGGATCTGGGGCCAGCGAGACGCTGTGACGAAAAATAATTTTTCCATCTTTTCGATTTAACTATATTTGGACTGGCAGTGGAGAAACCACCACGAGGGAACTCTCTTATTGCTGGTTCATCTGGAGGCTGGGGAAATTGAGGAACATTCCTAATCTTGACACTGAGCCTTCTGTGAAACATGATTGAAGTGGTCCTTAGGAAGGAACACAACTCAATACACGAACATTGGCACAAAACAAGTTCCGTGAGAGTGATGATAAAAGATTCGTGTGTTTGAAACGTGTCTTAGTTACAAGCAGCAAACCTTACCTCTTGAAATGACTCGCCAGGACTCCCACAAGCTCTCCAATGCGGTTCTCGTGGGTCGGCTGCTTGCTGAAGAGGCAGACGATGAGGTCCTTGTTGTCTTTGGTGTGGAACACTACCAGCTGGTCCTTCCCGTTCGAGACGCTCAGGCCAGTCAACTGCAAAGAGACAAATATGGGAAACTATGAGGTTGGTTCTCCAAGGAATAAATTTAGAAATACACCTTGTAATTTAATAATACCCCCCCCCCCCAAGTATCTCGATGACTTTAATTTTTACCAAGTGTCATGGACCAAGTCGATGGAAGGAAGTAATAAAGAATAGAAGTTAAGCCCTGGTCAGTTTGGCTCAGTGGTTGGAGTGTTGGCCAGCGGACTAAAGGGTTGCGGGTTCAATTCCAGTTAAGGGCACGTACCTCGGTTGCAGTTTGTCCCTGGCCCTGACTGGGGTCGTGTGGGAGGTAACCAGTCGATGTGTCTCTCTCACATGGATATTTCTCTCTCTCTCTCTTCCTTCCTTCCTCCCACTCTATCTGGAGATAAATGGAAAAAATGTCCTCAGATAAGGATAACAAAAAAAGAATAGAAGTTAATAAAATTGAAAATAGAAAAAAAGTCAATGAAACAAAGAGTTGATTCTTTTTTTTTTGTCCTCACCTGAGGATATTTTTCCATTTTTTCTGTTCAGATAGTGTGGGAGGGGGAGAGAGAGAGAGAGAGAGAGAAACATCGATGTGAAAGGGACACATCGAGTGACTACCACCTGCATGACCCAACCAGGGCCAGGGACAAACTGCAACCGAGGTACGTGCCCTTAGCGGGAACCGAACCTGGGTCTCTCTGGACCGCAGGCCGACACTCTAACCGCTGAGCCAAACCGGCTAGGGCAAAGAGCTGATTCTTTAAAAATATCAGTAAAACTGCTAAACCTCTAGTGTGAAAGAATAAGAGAGAAGATCTAATTACCAGTATGAGGAAATGAAAGAGGGGTTATCACTACAGACCATATAAACATACAAGAATAATAAGGGAATATTTTCGACCAGTCCATGTACATAAATTCAACAACATAGATAAAACCAAATAATTCTTTAAAGGCATAAACTACCAAGACTCACCTAAAAAGAAACAGATAACCTGAATACCACTATATCTATTAAAGAAATTAAATTGGTAGTTAAAAAATCTTTTGAAAAAGAAAACTCCAGGCTCAGATAATTTTACTGGTGAACTCGACCAAATGTTTAAAGCAGAAATAACACCAATTCTCTGTATCTCTTCTTAAAAATAGAAGGAAACACCTCGTAATTCATCTCTGAGGCCTGCATTACCCTGCTTTCAAAAACAGACAAAGGCAGTAACAAGAAAAGAAAACCACAAACCAATATCCAATATTCTTCGTGAATGTGGATGTAAGAATGGCCAGTAAGCCCTGGCTGGTTTGGCTCAGCAGTTGGAGCATCGGCCTATAGTCCAGAGAGACCCAGGCTTGGTTCCCGCTAAGGGCGTGTACCTCGATTGCAGTTTGTCCCCGGCCCTGGTTGGTTGTGCGGGTGGCAGCCATTCGATGTGTCCCTTTCATGTTGATGTTTCTCTCTCTTTCTCTTCTTCTCTCTCCCTCCCACTCTATCTGAACAAAAAATGAGGAATGTCCTCAGGTGAGGATAAAAAAAAAAGAATTGCCAATAAAATATTAGCAAATTGAATCCAGCATATACAGAAACATTAATAACCCATGACCAAGTGGTGTTTATCTAAGAAATGAAAGCTAGTTCAGTATTCAAAAATCGAATAATGCAATTCATCATAGCAACGTAATAAAAAAGAAAGCCACATGATCATATCAACTGATGCAGAAAAAACACTCAAGTCAACATCCATTCTTGATAAAAATCTCTCAGCAAACTGGATTAGAGGAAGACTAAGTCTGATAAATGACATCTACAAAAACACCACAACTAACATCATACTTAGTAGTAAAAGACTGAACATTTCTTCCAAAGATCAAGCAATGCAAAAATTTCTACTGTCACTGCCGATGTGTAACACCATACTAGAAACACTAGCCAGTGCACTAAGTCAGGTTTAAAGAAACTTAAAGGCATACAGGTTGAAGGGGAAGAATCAAATGTCTCTATATTCAGATTACATACTTTTCTACATAGAAAATCCCAGTGAATCTATAAAATAGCTTCCAGAACTAATAAGTGGATTAGCAAGGACACCAGATACAAGGCCAACATACAAAACTATTTCTATAAACTAGCAACAAACAACTGGAAACAGAAATTTAAAAACAAAACTATCCACAACAACTCTCAAAACAAAAATACTTAGATATAAATCTAACAAAACGTATATAGAAATTACATGTCAATGAAAGAAATGAAATTAAAATGCTGGTGAAAGTTATAAAAGAAAACCCTAAGTAAACAGAGAGAAATAATTTGTTCATGGATTGAAAACTCAAAATTGTTAAGATGTCAATTTCCCCCAAATTGGTCTATAGATTTAATGCAATTCCAACCAAAACCCCAGCAGGATTTTTTTGTAGATTCTGAAATGTGTGTGGAAAGGCAAAGGAACTAGAAGAACCAAAACAATTTGAAAAAGAATCAAGTTGGAGGACTCATAGTAGCTGATTTTCTTCCTTATTATAAGGCTACAATAATCAAGACAATGTAATGTAACTGTCAAAGGGATAATAACATAGATTAGTGGAGCAGAATGGTGAGTCGGAAATAGACCCACACAAATACAGTCAATTGATTTTTCACAAAGGTACAAAGGCAATTCAATGGAGAAAAGATAATTTGGACATTTGGACAACTTGAAACATTTGCACATCCATGTATAAAACTTTTAGAAAAAAACATAGGAGTAAAAAACCTCTGTTGCCTTGAATTGAGCAGAGATTTCTTAGAAATGGCATCAAAAGCATAACCCAAAAAAGAAAAAACTAAAGTTAAACTGAAGTTCATCAAATTGCAACCTTTTTCTCTGAGAAAGACACTGGTAGAAAAATGAAAAGACTAGTCATAGACTGGGAGAAAATATATGCAAAGATATATCTGACAAAGGCTTTGTGTGCAGAATATATTTTAAAAATTCTTAAAACAAAACAATAAGAAAGGAAACAATTTAGAAATGGGCAAAAGATTTGAAGTCACTTCGCCAAAGAAGACATATAGGTGACAAATAAGCACATGAAAAGATGTTCAACTTCACTAGCCATTAGGAAAATGCAAATTATAACTACCATGCGATACCATCACAGCCTATCAGAATGGCCCAGGTGAAAACAAAACAGCACAAACAGCAACAAAGTGTCAAATACCAAATGCTGGTGAGGATGTAGAACCAGGAGAACTCTCATACACTGTTGGTGGGAATGTAAAATGGTGCCATCACCGGGAAACCAGTTTAGCAGTTACTAAAAAAGTTAAACATGGAATTACCACCTGACCCAGCAATCTCACTCCTAGGCATTTATCCTAAAGAAATAAAACCTTATGTTCACACAAAACCATACAGGAATGTTAACAACAGCTCTATTCATAACTGCCAAAAGCTGGAAACTGAAATATCCATCAGTAGGTGAATGGATAGGCATCTCTGTTGGATGTATACTGATACATCTTTGCAATGTTCATCGATACATCTATAGGTTGGAATGCTATGAAGCAATAAAAAGGATGAACTAAAGATACAAATTACTAATATCAACAACATGGATATATTTCAAAGGCATTATGCTGAGTGAAGCAGTCAGTCTCTAGAAGACAAAACTTGAAGGATGGAAAATAGATGAGTGGTTGTCAGGGTTTGGGATCAGGGGAGTCAGGCACAGGGGAATTTGGGGGGGGGGTGATGGACAACTCTGCATCCTGATTGTGGTGGTTGTTACACAAATCTTTGCATGTGTTAAGACCCTAGACCTGTATACTGTCACCACTACCAAAAGCCAATCTTTTTTTTATTACATATAAATATAAAAAAACATAGCTCCTTGATTGTTTTGATCCCTGGATATTATATTTTGGTCAGTAAAGCAAAAACCCAAGTGATTCTTCATTCTGTGGTTTGTTCTTCAATTGCAGAAAACACCGAAGTGCCACCTCCTGGCAGCCACAGGTGCTGTCAGTTCCGTCTGGCAATCAGCACTGTGAGGGTACCCACTGGGGCAGTGCAGAGGGCCCGGCAGCCTGGGGCGGGGATGAGAGTCCCTTAAGATGCTGAAGGTAGAACCCCGGTCCTAGAGGGATTCATAATGCAGTGAAGAGACGAACAGGAGGAGACTTTAACAGTCCATACCTGTGGAAGGCCATGCCCACGCTGAGCTCCATGCCCACCCTTTACAGATAAGAAAACCGAAGCTTGATGAGGTCAGCTGATTTGCAGACCTTGGAACTGGACCTCAGGCCTGCAAACTAACCCAGACCCATGTTCCTGACCACAGCCAGCTTTTTCAAATATCGTGCACAAATGAACATAAGCTGTATAAAAAAAGTATTCCTAAACATCAAGTGAATACATTTTCAGAGGAGGTGAGTTTTCAGATTGATTTTAAAGAACCTTAGAGTCAGTGCTTAATGGAGAGAAGAGAAAATACTGAAGGAATTAGAAGTCAGTTCACAAACCTCTGTAGATCACGGGCTTTCTGAGGACACTGGCAAGATAATACATCAATCTTTCTGCCACTTAGATGTATCCTATCCAGCAGATTTTCAGATGATTCAATTAAAAGTATCATTTTCATTTTAAAAACATTTTATGTTGGTGGTGCTTCACGCTCATTTGATTATTTCACATACAAAATTCAAAACTGAATTTATGTAGCACTTCACTGGGGAGCTTGATTAAAGTTTAATAAAATGAGAATTCTAACAGCAGTAACTCTGCCAGCGTGTCCCAGGAGCATTAGCTGCAGGTCCAGGGGCAGAGTCGGCAGTGCGTGCCGAGAGCGTCCAGACAGGAGCCCTTCCCAGGTGCCGTCTGGGCCAGCAGAGAGGGGCTGTCTTTTCTCCGCCGCCCTCCCATTGTTAAGTGTGGGCTTCTGTTCCCCCCTTTCCCTATTCCAGCCTGTTTGGATGGCTTTATACTGCTGTCCATAGGAATTCTTTTTTTTTTTTTTGGTTAATCTTCATCCAAGAATATTT